AAGATTCTGTGGTGTGAGAGAATACGAAGAATTTTCCTTTTGAATAATAGTTTAACTTATGGTTATTTGATATCAACATGTACGTTGCGTTACTCAAAGTGATCTTAAATCTCAATATTTTGTCCGAGTGGATATAATTCTTGTGAGTTCGATCCCCACCCACATATTGTACTAAAAGAATCTCAACATTTTAAATAGGTAAGATTCAAAAATCTATCTATTTTAATTAATCAATTGAATTATATTTAAATCGGCAAGCAAATAAAAACTTTCAAAAATAAAATAAAATGAATAAAATAACTTACCTACTTACCATTCCTGCCTACCTTTTTAGTATAGTCTATTTTTAGTGATTAAAAAATGTTAGAAAAATCCACCATAACTTAATACAACACGTAAGAAATATAAGTATGAGCTTTTAACCTATTGGTAAGTAGGCAAAGTTTATTCAAATAACATTATAAAATAATCCTATTAATAGAAATAAATCACTAGTAGATTATATAGTTTAAAGTTTCATTGAGAGTTCAACCGTGGTCACGTTATAATTTTCTCTATAACTATGAAAATAGAATAAATATAAACTATCACATAAATTAAACATTCATTAACTCACGAAATTAATCCATAAATAATCAGGTTAATTATTTCTCTTTATATATATATTCACACTCTCTATTAGTTCTTTTTCCTTATTCTAAAAAAATTGATCCAACTATTATAATAAAAAATTAAAATATCAATCTAATTTTATGTTTCGTTAATATTTATACGATATATAAGAAAATGAATTAACGTTTGATATCATTGTCAAAACTCTCCAATTTATATATATCAGGGATATCTTAGGATCCGTTGGGTGGGAAACTCAAATTTTTTTTTTTTTTTGTTTTCACATCCAAATCAAATAGGTTTAGTGAATACGCATTTGGGAGGATTTGAGAGATTCGTTTTTAAAAACTGTTTTTGGATTCTGTGATCAAAATAGTAGAAATTCTGAAAACGATTTTTTTTATGTTTTCTGTGTTTTCAGAAATATAATACTTCATATTATAAATTCATTTAACACTGAAAATACTGAAAACAAACAATAGAACTCTGGTTTTAATTGAATCATTTGTTTTCAAATTTTTATTTTTTGATTACCAACCAAACGCAACCTTAATTTTTAGTTTCGATGACTTCACTCCTGCCACTAGTCTTGTCTTTTAACCTTTCCTTCCTTCGAATAAATATCTTTCTGCAACTTGTTTTTAAAAATATATTTTTTTCTAAAGAGAGAGAAAACAATACTAACATTTTTGGGAAACTATCAACTTTGATGGAAACACCAAAAAGAAAAAGGTTTGATTTTTAATTCCTTTTTTCCCGTTTGGTTACAAAAATAACAAAATACAGAATTGGAGATTTTTTTGCCAATAAAAACGCAATACTGCGAGCCTTCCAATGGCATAAAAAAGGCGAAGTAAAAATATATAACAAAACAAGGTGCGCTACCAAAATTTTCAAAAGGCAAGGCCAAGTGCTCTTTTTTTTTTCCTCCATAATAATAATAATAATAATAATAATAATAATAATAATAATTGTTATTATTATTAATAATAGGCTTAAAATTTTATGATTGATGAAATGGCTTTCCTTCCCCATCTACCCACTAAACCCATAAAGATTGACTATTTTATTTCTTACTCATTCAAACCTTACTTTCACAAATACAACTCCAAAACCCTAATTTCTAATTAGGTTAATTGTGTCGTGCATGCATCTCTATATACCTCGTGTTATTTATTATTCAACAAATACGAATTGTCATGACCAATATAAATATAACTTAAATTAATCAAGATGTTATTTACTTTTCTTAAAAGTCGAAAGCACGAATTATTCGACCCATTGTTGGTTGAACTTAAAAGAAAAGTGTATACTTGTCAATTTAAGTATACTAATGTATTCTATCAAGGGTCCATTTTTAGTGTAATATTATCAAATAAATGGTCCATTTTTAGTTATCTTGCGATAGCTTAGACTAGTGTTGTGTATGATATGCCGTTTATTATTATTAATTATTTTACCATAATTATTAAAAATAATTTAATGACGTGATTTTACATTATTCTAAAAGAGTATTTACTAAAAAAAATGTTTATAAAAGTATTTTTTATTTTAAAAATTATTCTGAACATCCCAAATACACTATAAGATATTGAGTCTCTTTTTCTTGCTTTAGCTTTGCGCCGTATTTTTTCTTACACTTTTTTTAGTACAACATGTGAGATTGAGATTCGAATTTACGATCTCTTGGTAGAATATTGATGCCTTAACCAGATGCTATGCTTATGTTGACTTCCTAACTACTATATCTGTTTGGGGGTAAAAATACCTAGGACACGTGGAGGATGCTTACTAGTGTTCAAGGATTAAATATCACAGGTCCACCTCGGCCCTGCCGAAGAGGTTGGGTTCACCCATCGGGAACAAGCTAAGTATGCGTGCCGAAGTCCGATCTGTTTGGGGTTCGATCTACTCGGAACCCGACAAGTCCGATATGAGAAAAAACATATAACTGTCGGTCGTGTGTACTGTCGGATCCACCACCTATAAATAGAGAGCTTCGTTTCACAGGGATCGAATCTCAACTCGAACTAAATACAGGGTCCGACCTATACTGACTTGAGCGTCGGAGTATTCTACCCTCTTGTGCAGGTCCACTCTAAGTGTTCAGGTCGTGACCGGAGGCCGGGTTCGAACTTGGTTCGTGAAGAATCGTTGTGCAGACCTTTGCATAAACAATATCTAACCGGTCTCTAACTTTTCATTTGTGCTTTAATAATCGAACGAACGAACGGTGATATCTGTTGCTTTTCAAATATACGTCACCTTGTAAAAGCGGAAAAGAAAATAGGAAATTGTTTTGAAGATGGTTTTACAAACTCATACGACTATAACTTGGCTAAGCAATTGGACTTCCAGAGTAAAATGTCAAAACCTACTTTGGTGTGTTCAAGGAGTTGAAAACCCAACAATGGAAAAGCAAGTTTGAAAATTCATACAATTTCAATAATTGAACTCAATTTTCTACATCCATAAAAGCCTCTTCATTCGCCTTTTTCGTTTTATTGCGTGCTTTCTAGAAAGATATTCAAATATCATTCTATAAATTAATTTTAGGTTTCAATTTTTAGTAATTTGTTGGTAGAAACACTACTGGTTAATTTGGTATTAAAAAAATTAGTATTGTTTTATTTATTTATTTATTATTATTATTATTTTATTAGTATAGGTGGGAAATTCGAATTTACCTTCTCTGTCACAAATAAGTGTCAATTACCACTATACTAAGCTCATGTTGACATTTTATTGATAACATGATGTTAAATTATAAATTTGATCCATGTGTACTCATGAGTATGATTTCAATTTAATCTCAATATGAATTTCATATAACCTTGTTTGAGTTTTATTTTAATTTTATTCTTATAGTTTCATTTTAATTTTATTCTTATAGTTTCGTCAAACCTCACCAATCGTATGACACATGTTTTACGTAGTAATGAACTAATATTTTTTATTTGACTAACTTATTTTAATTGGACCATATTAGGGTTTAGGACAAAGTAAAAAAAAAAAAAAGGAAAAGAATAAAGCAGTACATCTTTGTGGATAGACGGCCATATATGGATGATTCATGAAGTTTCAAAGCTCGAACGGTAGAAATTAAATTGAAAATTATAAAGTTATAAAAATCAAATTGGAACTCTTTCTCAAACCCTAAGTACTTAATTTGTAATTTCCAATCCAATTATAATTTATTGACAAGCCAAAGCAACGTGGGCTGCCAAGGAAAGGCAATGGCATTTTCCTCCTTTTGGGTTTGCGAATTAAAAAGAATTTACAAGCAAATAGCAAACACAATTTGAACAAGAAACTTTCAGCTGCTGCTCTTTCGCCTTTTTTCTTTTCCTTAAAAAAATAATCTTTTTTTTTCTTTTCTCTTTAAATGCTCCTTTAAAAGCCTCGGCTTTTTGGGCCACTTTCAATTAATTTTTAATGTAATAATTACAATAAATGAATATTTAATTAATTTATTAAATTTAGAGTGCAATAAACCCAAGGAATAAAATACTCGTATTAAATACGCCGCTCTTCGCACCACCAACGTACGGATAAGAGCATGCAATTTATTTATTTTATTCCTTTGCAGGCAACAAAATTTATTTATTTTATTTTATGTGCGACATGTCGGCCCCAGACCAAACAATTAGTCTCGTTGCTACGAAAGTACAGCCACAATACTATACAAATGTTTTTTTCCCCTAATAAAATAATAATATTTTTTAATGTAATATTTTTAACACGTAGCGTCTGCTATAATTTCATAACGCTCGTAGAAGAAATAATTTAAATACCATATAATTGCTTTTCTAAAAATTAAGCTTATTTATTAATAATAAATAGACAAAATTAAAAATTCCAATTATAAATTGGACGTGCTATTTGTTTCGTCTTGGGCTTGGGTCTTAACAATACTATTGCAATTTATTTGCTTTCTGTAATTTGGTTTTTAAAAAATTAGAAAATAATTTTGCTTGGCGTTTAAACATATCTAATCGGGTTTAAGAAAACCAAAGCGAACATATCTCAAACACATATATCTCCAACCAAAGGGTGGTAAGTTCAATCCTACCCTCATATGTTGTATTAAAAACAAAACCTAGTTTAAGAAAATATCTACAAAAACGTCGAAAAGCCAAAGTATTTACAAAACTAGTCTGAATAATTATTCGATTGGCCCAAAGAGAGAGTTTGATTCAAAAGTCCAATTCAAGTAGCCCATCCAAATTAATGGATTGACTTTCATAAATTGGGCCGGTCTGACCTAAGCCGAAAAAATGTATTAGGGCCTGAGGCCCATTGAGAAAATGGGCCGAGAATCGGGTTTGGGCCAGACCCGGTTCAATAATAAACTGACACGTCGTACGCTTTGTACTGCGCAGACACTTGAACCCTTTTCCCCTCTGGGTCACCGTCGGCATCTCTCTCTCCTCTCCTCCCGCGCTGAAATCACGACGATAACGAAATTTCCGAGCGGCGATCAACGGCAAGGGGTTTCTATTGTGGGATTTGCCCTTGTATTGGTCACTCCGGCGTTTGCTACATTCGTCTGCAACTTTCGGCTGTATTTCTCTCTCAACTGCTCGTCTTTTTTCTTATCCTTGAAATCGGTGTTCTAGGGTTGCGTCTTTGCCTGTTTCTAATTGGTCGTGGTTTTGAGTTTGCTGGGGTGTGTTTTGAGGAGTAAAGGAGGTTATTCCCGTTCCTGTGGATTTATGAGGAAAATCTTGGTCTCTGTTTGGGGTTTTGAGGGTGGGATGATTCTTGAACGATGAACGATGCCGGTACTGCGTAGCGGAGTGCGCAGGGGCCGGGCAAAGCAGCAGAAAGACGTGTTGAGTCCGATCGAACCAGAAGGAGAGGCCATTGCGACGAGGACAAGGAGGAGGAGGAAGGCTGCGGCGGCGGAAGGACTGGTGCCCAATACTAACGAGAAGCAGTTGCGAGAAGGAAACGAACAGCAGCCGCCTCCGGTCAATGATAAGGTAGCTGCCGTAGTAGCGACTGCGGAAGAACATCGGGTGCCGAAGGATTCTTTCCGGGTCAGAGGTGGAGACGAGGTTGGAGTTGGTGAGGTAGGAGGCGCTGCTGGTGGAGCCAAGAAGGAAGAAATTGGGGAGAAGAAAATGGATGATCACGACAGTGGAGCAGGAAGCAACGATAAAGCCCACGCCGTTGAAGAGGAGGGAAGCACTGCGCCGCTTCCCGAAAAGGTTGGTCCTTACTATAGCTGTAGTACCAAGTAAAATTACGGACTTGATATATTTTTCGTTTCGCTGCATGCATTGGTTGTTCTGCTGTTTAGTGTTTCACATTTCGCTCAATGTTGGAGTCATATTCTTTTCCAATCTCTAGTTTGTTTTATAATGTCTCCAGCGAAAGGTGGATTTTGTGGGAACATATTTCGAGACCATGCTTGATGAAAATGTTGTCTCTCTATTTGTTCAGAAAGAATTCTTGTTTCGATTCTTTTAACCCTTATTATCAGAATCACAGAATTTAAACGTGTTGTTTTAAGTACCTTGAGTTGTTGGGTTTCATATGGAGTTCTGGTAGCTTCACGGGTTGGATGTCTAATTGTCCAGCGTGTGTTTGGGAGTGCAAGTAGAATGAGTGATTTTGAAAAAAGTGTTTTAAGTATAATTGATTTTTCAAAATTGCCATTCAAGTGATACCTTAAAAAATCAATTTAAGGTGGTTTTAAACTTTCCTGGAATAAATTTTTTAATTTGCCAAACATGATCATTGGAAAGGGAATTGTCTTTGACAATGGCAAAAGTAAACACAGCCTAGGTGCAATACCTTTGCTTTTATCATTAGGCTTTTCCAAATGCGGAATATCCTCCCAGAGTTACGAAAGTGGAGGTCACTGCAATTCCCTTTGATGCTGGATTATAAGATAATTGGTGCAGGAAGTAATTAAACATAATTAATCGACTTGCAAGTTGGTTACTTTAATTTAGTAGTTTATTTTATTAATTATTTCCAATTTCTAGTTTAGTAAGGTTATAAATAACCAGGTTGTATGGAAGCTTTTGGTATCCATCTTAGTTTCACGTAAACCTGCCACATTTGTTTGGTATTATAGCCCTTAGTTCTTCTAAGAAAGGAATTATATCAATAAGCTGTAGTTGGAGTTGAAGAATCAGTGGTGGAGTGATAATTACCGTCCACCTTTAATGAAATAGGGTTCTAGAGATCTTTCTATCATTTTGGGAACTTTTCCTCCTTGAACATGGCTCTTGCGTAATCCATTTTAGTTTCACTGGGAATTGCTGCATTAATTAACTATCAATTTTGTGTTTTGAACTATAGTTTACTGTAACTACCACAACTTCAAATCAAGTTTTCTCACAGGTTTTTCTGCCGAATATTATTATGGTTTAGATCCATAATAAGCCAGCCAAGTTTTTGTCTGCTTGTCTTGTGACCATATCCTTAGTTAATGACAATGCTGAATGTAGTCATTTGGGAGCTGCAATATTCCTTTAGCTCTCTTAAGTTTCTTTAAGTGGATAATACCACATAACTTCAGTATCTTTCCATTTCAGCATTAACATCCCTTGTGCTTTTATCAATAGTCAGGTTTTCAACAATAATGTGCATTTTTCATCCACCTCTCTTTCCTTCGGACGTTAGTATTTTGCTAAATTTATAAATAATAAAAATTCTCAAATATTGCATGTACTATTGCGTGCTGATTGTATAATATGATTTTTGGTTTTTCAGCTTTGTACTTCTAAATATATATTTGTTGGTAAATTTTTTTGTTTGAATAATGTTGCAGTAGCATGGCCAAATTCAAATAGTTTATCTGTTTATGGTCTCTGCACTTTTATAAAAGGCTATTATGACCTTTCGAAAAAAAATTTAAACCTTTCGAAAATAAAAGGCTATTATGAGTTGCAGTACATCATTTATTTTCACTCCATTATAATTTTTTCCCCTAAATCCTACAGATTCAGGTGGGTGGTTCCCCACTCTACAGGATAGATAGAAAGCTGGGTAAAGGTGGATTTGGACAGGTTTATGTTGGACGACGTGCCTCCACTGTTAATACAACTGAGAGAACTGGCCCCAATGCTGTGGAGGTAAGCATTGGATGGTTTCGATTTACACACACAGTCCTAGCCCTCTCTCGCTCTTTCTCTCTCCATATGTTACATTGGACAACATTTCTGATGTTAGGTGGCTTTAAAATTTGAGCATAGAAGTAGCAAGGGATGTAATTATGGGCCACCTTATGAGTGGCAAGTTTACAAGTGAGTGGCCATCTCATCTCTCTTCATCGATTTTGCTATATTATTTTTTGGTGAATCTTATACTATATCAATCCCACAGTACTCTTGGTGGTAGTCATGGGGTACCCCGGGTGCACTACAAGGGCAGACAAGGTGACTACTACATTATGGTATGTTCTCATCTGTCTCTTTCTCTGGTTTGCTTTTTGGTCAAATCTTCATTGTTTTGATGGCCATTCTTTTTCCTTTCCTGGTTTTTATACGACATATTGATTAGAAGCTTTTAATTTTTCAGGTTATGGATATGCTGGGGCCAAGCTTGTGGGATGTCTGGAATAATAACTCTCATACGTGAGTTTAGTAGAAACTTTTCTGAACTTACATTTGAACCTTGTTTTTTTATTAATTTTTTTTTTTTCTTATTTCAGTATGTCTGTTGAAATGGTTGCATGCATTGCAATTGAAGCAATATCCATATTGGAAAAGATGCACTCTCGCGGGTAAGGGTCCTGTTGGAAACCATGTAGATTTCACTTTTCTTACTGAATGTGTAAGCCTGTGCAAATGGCACATCATGTCTATTTTAAAATACCTAAATTATTATCATTTTGTTCTGTTAGGTACATTCATGGTGATGTCAAACCTGAAAATTTTCTGCTTGGTCCTTCAGGGACTCCTGATGAGAAGAAGTTGTTTTTGGTTGATCTTGGATTAGGTATATTACGACTTGCATCTTTTGTCATTTAATATTCGTTTGCAGCATGTTGCATTACTCTATACGTTTTTATTGTTGGCAGCAACTAGATGGCGTGATGGATCTGGCCAGCATGTCGAATATGATCAAAGACCTGATGTATTTAGGTACACCTATTATTATGTTATTATACTATAAATCTGTCTCCTGTCCATCCTCAGGGTATTCCTGATACTATTTATTGTTTATGGTCTTGGTTCATTTGCGTTTTACTTTGACAGAGGAACAGTGCGCTATGCAAGTGTACATGCTCATTTGGGGAGAACTGGTAGCCGGAGAGATGATCTAGAATCTCTTGCCTACACCCTAATTTTTCTCCTTCGTGGTCGTCTGCCTTGGCAAGGATATCAGGTTGATGAATAGTTTGGTATCTCCTGCATATTATTTTCTTAACCATGATGGTTTGAATTTCTTTTATGATAAGACTTAACCATAATGATGTTACAGGGGGAGAACAAAGGATTCCTTGTTTGCAAGAAGAAGATGGCTACTTCTCCGGAGACTTTATGTTGCTTTTGTCCGCAGCCCTTCAAACAGTTTGTTGAATATGTGGTGAACTTGAAGTTTGATGAAGAACCTAATTATGCAAAATATATTTCACTTTTTGATGGAATCATTGGTCCAAATCCTGAGATCAGGCCAATAAATACAGATGGTGCTCAAAAGGTA